GAGTGATATGTTAAGGGATCTCCACTAGAGGTCAGGAGTGAAAAGCAGTACATGGATCTTTGCAGCTCTCTTCTATCTTAGGCAACAGTTTGTATAAAACTAATGAATGCTCTCTAGTTAGATTGTCTAGTGGTGAATGAAATAGCTTGTTCTATGTAGAATTGGTGACTGGAGTGGCACTTTCCGTATGTTTGATTCAACAGCGAGAATCAGATGTCAGGATCAAACTGATACATCGGATATTAATAACATTAATATAGCTATGAGAAATCTTGAATACGAAACCATCTTCAAAATCTAGCTCATTTCACATGAATAGTACCAGACTTCTGAATCTAAACCTGATAGTTTTCCCTTTCTTGTTTTTTGTTGTATTATTTTTTTTCCAGACTGAGTGATAATGAGTGTTACTTCATTAATTATTTACTGTCTGGACAATGTCATTTTGGGGCTTTGTTTAAAGCCAGGTTTTTTAATTACTTTAAGCACTTTGATCACTAACTGTAGTGGGGATTCGATTGTGTCAGAAGGTATCTGTACTTCCCTGGCACTAGTCAGAAAAGAAAGAAATCTGCACTAGATTTGGAACCAAGGGAAATACGCAGACTTTCTGAAAAGAGCAATACTTTTGGTGTAGTACACAAGTCTGTTTCTAGCTCTGCAGCCTTTGCTGGCTTTTAAGGCTGAGGGCAGATGTATTCTCGCTGACTGCAAGGCTTAACTGCTTCATTGGAGTAGAAAATAACACTTGATCCAATGGGCCATCCGCTTTGCAATCTCATGTGTTGTTGCTGAGGGCTTCCTTTAATTCCACTATTGTGGGCAACCACTTATTTGCTGGCTTTTTCCTGTTACTGCCCAGATACTGTAGGCAGGGAATGTTCAGTAAACCTTGAAGCAATTGCTGGGCTAATGGGATTATTATTCTGGAGGAACACTACAGAGAGACATCCAGTTAGGTTTTAGTTTGAGGTAGCATTAAGTTTATAGCCTCATTTATAGCACTTAGTGTCACGTTGTGATGTTATATTTTTCACGCTGTGTCTTTCACTTAAAATTTTACCAAAAATCTTCCTAGATGAGAGTTCTGTACCACATACATCCAGTTGAAAATCCTGTATCTGTGTGAGAAAATGGTTGCGCTTTGTGTTCTTCGCATATGATGTTGTGCTTAACTTCTTCTGAACTCCAGAGCATGGATACAAGGTTTAGCAGTGTACAGTTTTGGTGCTCTGAGTGTTTACTTGTAAATTTCATTAGAAGAAATAATGGGAATAGTGTGTGCTTTTTCAAAAGCAGAGCAGGTGTTTTCTTGTAGCAGACATTCCTTGGTGATACAAATGTGTTTTTTCTAATGTTTAACTTCTTATTAGTTTGGAAGCATGCTGTCTGTCCAACAGAAAGCAAAGGAAAATCCAAAATGTCACGTGATCATCTTTCTAGTATTTTACATCTAACAGTCAGTTAGTTTTCCAGTTGTTCACCAGTTGCAGACAAGATCTTTGTTAATGTACACTTTTTCTTTCAGGTGAGAGGGGGAAATGTCTTCGGTGCTTGCCTGAATTAAGTTGCATTGTGGATTTCTATTAAATTTCCCCTGGGCTTAGATTAGGGAAAAAAAATATTGAAACGTGTCAGAGATGTTTTCAGCATGAAGGGCATGCGTGCAAGACTTGTTTTGAAAATATGCCTTTGCTTTCCGCCTGTCTGATCATGACACTACGCTCAAAATCATACAACCCCACAAGGCTGTAATGGGCCAAATCATTGTAATCAAATGTGGCATTCCGTATGTCTTACTCTGTGCAAGTAGGTCAAGTTTAACCCATGTTCTTGGCTAGTGCTCTGATTTCCCACAACCTGCTCCACGTGGCTCATGCGTTGTGCTGGCGTACACAGCGTGCCAGGCGGGTCCTGGGCAGCTTCACAGGGGTGCTCAGCTTCTGGACCCAAAAGAGGAATGTAGTTTTCTTTTTGATTTTATGGTAATGGAAACTTCAGTTGTCTGATCTGCTGAATCTTACACTGCTGATTTTCTTAATGAGTTAGGAAACATTTGACCAGTGTGCTTCAGAAAGTTAATAAAGACCCCTGAGGGGAAAAAAAATTGCTGGTTTATAACCAAACTGTGTTCTGAATGAGAGTAACAAAACTTGACTCAGCTTGAAGGTCTGAAGAAGAACGGCTTCAGAATAGTGATGTAAGCTGTACTTTGGACTGGACTTTTTGATGTTATGGTTTCAATGAGCAAATTTCCTTCTTGATAATGTAATCGTGGATTTTGTTCCAGTGATGCTGGAATGATTGTGGATCAGAAAGTGTTAATGCCTACAAAAATCACCTCCAGTTCTAAGTCAGCTGTTAGGCATTGCAGCAAAGCCAAACTGCGGGATAGAAAGTGCAGTCAGTAGTAGTGCCTGCTATTGGCTTTTGCCTCTATGTAGACTTCAGACTGCTTGAGTATGCTTAATGCACAAGAGAGATCTGTTAAGAACTTTATTACTAAGACATTTATGTACAGCTTTACATCCCTTTGTATTTTTCCAGCATGTCGTCTTGTTGCTGTCACAGTTTAATTTACTCTCACTTTCAATTGCTCTCCTGTTCTGAGAGAAATGTTTCACTGAACTGTTGCCATCAGGTAGATCAGTTACATCTTTTGCTTCAATCTGTTTTATATCTGTTGTTTCACAGTAGGGTTTGGTGTATTGGTTAACCTTGTTCCTAGAGAAGAAATGATATCTCAACATAAGCAAACTTTTCTGGGAGATGAAGGTCAGAATGAAAGTACTTGTCTGGCAAAGCTGAGACCCTGACCCCTTACCTCCATTTTAGGAACTGGTAGGGAATCAATTAAACGGACTGTTCTGCACTAGCTATGTGCTTTTCTGTAACCTCACTAACCTTCCCCATCTGAAATTCAGAAGTAATGTTACCCAGTGTTTAAACCCTGTGTATGACCCTTTAAACTGTTGTGAGACTGGTCAATATCAAAATAAAGGCAGAACTACACAGAGGAACTCCTATGAGGTATTGAAAATATTTTTGTGAATGTGCAGATGTTTCAGCTAATAAACTGGAATGTGCCAATACTTTGCAATTTTAGGCGTAGCTGAAGTTCTCCATAGGCTCTTAATACCCTTTACTTTTATTTGCTACTTTTCTGTTAACATTGGAATTGTGATGCTTAAGGCACTGTTTGAGATTTGGCTCTTGAGTCTGAATCTACAGGCTCAGCTGGCATTAGGCAACTTGTACTTCTGCTGTTGTAGTGCCCTTGTTGAAAGTGTTAAAGAATGTCTTTATTTCAGCATTTTCTAGTTTTATGAACGTCCCTGTTGAGGTGTGGGCCAAAGGACTCTTTCAGTCCTTTATTTCAGAATATGCTTGTGAGATAGTAAAAAAAAAAATGATTGCTTTCTGGCACTGCTTGTTTATGCACTGTTGGCACAGAGCTCTGGAAAAGAAAGCTGTAGAAAAGCACTTGTTTTGGTAATTTATTTTTAAGATGAGTCTCAACTGAACATCCTAACCTGAAACTTCCTTAAATAAAGGCTGAGAGATCTGATCAGACTTCTGGATGAAGTGAAGTAATTTGAAAACAGGACTTTGCTTTTGTGACATTTCAAGGGAGAAGTTGAATGCACAAGAAGGAGCACCTGCAGTGATGAACTTTCATAAGCAGAAAGCGCTGTAATCAAAGCTGCTTTTCTACAAATCTAGATTTGTACCTGTTGCTTGGTCATTCTGCAGAAGTTGTTAGATTATGTTACTAATGTTACTAATTTAGCCCTGAGTATTTTTCAGGAATTTACTGGGGTTAATTCACTGTTGATTCTCTAGCTTTTGGATCCTAAAAAATCAGTCACTTTCTGATGGTTTGGTATTTCTTCTACACCAGTTGCATTTCCTTAAGGAGCTCAAGAAATCTGGCAGCACAAGTTGTAAAGCCTTGGTCTGCCAAATATTTTGTTTAGGTATCACATCGCCTTTTTTTTTTAATTCCTCATAAACTCACAATTCTTACATATTGCTTCCCTCCAAGTAACCATCGCTTTCAAAGCAGAAGACAAAGAGAAGACACTGGTCAACTGACATAATTAGACTAATTTGCAGCTTGATTTTTAGTTCTTATGCTGGAGTCCAAATGTTTGATTGATGGCTTATTCTTAAAAGATTTTGAATCAGTAATACCTTGAGTTTGCCTTGCAGCAGTACCTCGCTGAATTCCTGATATTTCAGGGTTCTGATTTTAAGTATTTTTAGCTCCTGTGAGACACTGAAGAGTCATTGAAAAGGCTGCCTCTTCATGAAGTGTTATTTTCATTGTCCTATTGAAGGTATTTATTTACTTTGGAAACTTACTCATGTTTGAAAATGTCTTATCTGACCTAGTTTAATTTTGGACAGTGTAATTTTCCTTCTACTTCTCATTTCTTTTTAGCTGCAGTGTGACAGCAAACATAAATAAGAACAACTGTTGCAACTTGATTCTCTTTTTTTTTTTTCTTTTTTGAAAGCATTCAACTTGTATTGGACTTGTAACTTTACCTCATTTGATGGGAAGAATTGTTTGTTGGCCGCTGATAACTACTACTGAGACACTTCCCAAGTTTTGTTTTGAGTGATGGGGAAAGAGTCAAAATCAGGCTTAAAACAGCTCTAGTTTTTTTGAGGTCACTGTTCTCCTAGGTACCAATGGCTTTATTGGCTGCAGGTTGCAGCAAAACAATCATAGGTAGCATAATTCTTAAGCTAAGAAGGAGATGGCAATTCAGAACTTCATTTTTGCCAAAACTATTACTCTTCATATTTTCGATAATCAATGAGAAGAAGAGAAGAAATGCACTGTATAGTGCACATCCACTACTTCCCACTAGAAGGTGATGGATCTGCAGTGTGCAAACCTGGATGGAAGCCCTGCTCCAGCTAACCCAGGCGTGTACTGAAAATAGGAAATGGTTATTGGAACTAAATTATTTTGCCATTTTTATTTTTAGGTTTGCTGGCATGGGTAATCTCATTAAGGTGCTAACCAGGGACATAGACCACAATGCAGCACATTTTTTCTTGGATTTTGAAAGTAAGTCTCTCAGCCCTTCACAGCTGGTGCATTTGAAATGGTATGAAGAGGGTTGCTTATACCTGCTGCAATGAAGGCTAGGGGACTCAGTTGCAAATCTGCAAATTGAAAAAGGGTTGCATGTGGTTTGTTTTTTTGCCTTTGTTTTTGTGTTTTTGTTGTGGTTTTTGTTGTTTGTTGTTGTTTTTTTTCTCAGTAGGAGCCAAGCCACCATCATGCTACTGTGTAAATTTTCTTTTCTTGTGCTTAGTCATTTTGGGTCTCTGTGGTCAGTGATGTCCATCCATCTGCCTGCAAATCAAGTAATCATACGATGAAAAATTCTGTCAGTATGCCATGGTAATCTGTACTGAGCAGTTGTTGTCTGTAATCCTATCTTATATACCAGCAAGTATTAAATTATTCCTGTTTCTGGTTTGTTCATTCATGGTGCAGTTAATGTATATTTTTACATCTAAAAGTCCGATGTAGAACTGTGTGATCTTCTCAAATCTTCTAGGCACCTTGTGCAAGAGAACTGGGGGTTACCTGTGTTGGCATTTTCTGCACAATGAAATGATGCATCTTGATTCAGCTTTCTATAATGATCATCTCTCAAAATTATGGGAGCTGACAAAATTAAAACACTTTTCCTCTGTTGTCCCATCAGGTAAAATCCTGTAGTGTTACTACCATGTCAGTGCTGGCAAATGTGGTATTAGCCCTCAGTATGGTACTCCTGCTCAGGACACTGGTGCTAAGGTGTACCAGGACAGAATTAGTCACAAGACCTCCAATTGGAGTTGTGCCCCTTTCTCAAAGGGGAGGCTGTGAAGATGTTGATGTACGTCACTTCTGACAGGAAAGCTGCATTGCATCTCTGGGATCACCAGCTGGACGGCCCCGAAGTGGGCTCTCCTCCCCCTGGCAAAGAGGGAGCCTGAAGGACGGGTCCATGCCTGATGGAACTCCTTGGTCTTCTTCCCCACCACTTCAATCAACTATATTTGGGCTGTTCCTTCTTATAAAGGAAAATTTTCTTTTCTCTCATTCTTGTCTTGGCAGGTACCTTAACATGGGGAACCTTCTTAAAGTTTTGACATGCACAGACCTTGAGCAGGGGCCAAATTTTTTCCTTGATTTTGAAAGTGAGAAGATGATTTTATATATCTATTACTCTTTGCCTGCAGTAGACTGCATTTGTCATGTACTAAATGTATGTTTTCACTTTGCCATCTTTCTAACAGCTTTGCATGCCTGAGCTATGAAAAGTTCAGTGAACTTCTGACAAAAGTAATAATCTCCTTTAAAATAACCCAAGTTTCTAAAAAGTAAAATCTTTGTTTCCAGGAATACTTTCAAACTGCATTTTGTGGCTGGAATCTGATACAGTTTCCTTTTTAAAACCAAAATTCTGTTTGTTTTTTAACCAAAACTTTGAAAATAATTTTTAAAAGAACTTGAATTCTTTGAAGACATACTGAAATTACAAGGAGATGTGTGTCTTAAAGAAGGACAAAACATGAAATCTAATTCCTTCTTTGTGCACTTCTAGTATGCCTCTAGATGCTGAATGCAGCGCATACTGGTTGGCTCACAACAGCTCTTCATAGCTCTCCAACATCGCAATGGTAGTGGTGTGTTTGTGAACCTTACCTGATTTGGCATTGAAATTTGACAGTAAACCTCATCCCTCCTCAAATGGAGGCTCAGCAAGTGTTATAGAGGTGAAATTGCTTTTGAAGATTAGAGAGGCAAACCTTTGATCAATGCCAAGAGTTCAGGAAGGTTCACATGCTGTTGGTATTTCTGCTTTTAGTTTTTGTTGCATGATATAATGTAGCCTAAGAATGGCAGGTAAGTGGTGTTGGCTGCTGCTATGCACGTTTAATCACTTTATTTTGGGATGTGCTTTACCCCAGCTGTGCATCAACTAGCATAAAATAAGAAAAATATTGTTCAAAGTGCATTTTAACTTGCAACAAAATACATTGGAATACTATAACTAAAAAAAAAAAAAGAAATCAAAGCCCTACCATGAAATATTATGATATGGATAATACAAGATTCATTATCTTTTCTTTCTCCTAAATTATTTTTCAGTGAAATAGTGCCAATTGGTTTTATTATTTGCAAAATAAAAGAGAATGCTTGGAGAGATATGGTTATGCTTTAATATCATTTGAAGTTGGAATGTTTCTAAACCCTCATCCTGTAGTGTTGATTTCATCATCTGTCTTTTCCTAACATTTAGTGTACTGAATGACAGTAGCCATACAAGTTAGCCATGAAAGGGAGATAATCAAGGGCTGTGTTCAAGAACTGGAAAACAAGACTTGTTTAAGAGCATTTCAAGTTTCACATATCTCCAAATAGATGTGAGGTAGTGAAGCAGGGAGAAATGGTGCAGGAGAATATTGGAACACTGGAAATCCAGTTCAGTCTGCAAATACAAACTGTTTAATAGGATTATCCACTAGTTCAAGGTAGCTGAATACATGAGGCATAATTCTGGAATCATTTGTGATAACAATTGCTGCTAATTTTTTGAAAGTTTTTATCCATCACATTTTTTTAAATGCATGTTTTGAGCATGAACATGATTTGGCATGAGAGTAAGGAGGTTGCTGACATGAAATGTTTATACATGCAGTCAAATTAAGTGACTTACACTGTGGCTGAGTTGTTAGACTGTTCTTTATTCATTTTTAACTCTGTCCTATGTGTGTTTCTGCTGCTGTACTATGTACCCATACTTCTTTCTACTCTATTTCAGATAGCTTGCCTTGACAGAATCTTGACTTTGACACAGTCAAGATCTTTCTTCAAGACTTGGCACTTAATCTTGGGATACTTAAGATTATGTTTTTATGGGGAAGAGCAAGTAAGCTCTGTATTAAAAACAAAATTCCCAATGCTGTATTACCTGCCTGGCTCAATAATACACAGGCCTAGATGTTTTGTTTTTGAATCCAGGTATGTCCTTGGAATGAGCAGACCAGTTAAATGTTCCTTAGCACAATACCATAGCAACAGAATCTAATCTCTGAAAAGCTTTATAGGAATACAGGTGCTGAATGTAGAAAGATTTAAAATTGGTTTCCAGGACTTTCAGATATTTAGCTTGGTGCTAGTTTGCAGTGATGTCAGTGACTGGCTATCAGAACGCAGACAAAAAAATGATATAATGGGCTGTGGGCTTTTCCCTGCATTAATGCAGGTTAAGCTCCTGCTTTCTTTGGTCATTCAATTCAGCTGTTTGAAGCAAATAATTATTTTAAATATTCTACTCAGATCTTTGTAGTGCCACTTCAACAGCCAGGTACAACATGGGAAGCTTATATTGATGCCACTGCTGTCACAGTGCAATGCTTCTCAAACTTACTGGTGTGAATAGTAGCTAAGCTGCAGAGTACTTTTGCTTGCAGGTGGTGATCTCAAGCTAACAGTATGAAAAGTATTCTGCATTACCTCCAAAAATCTTGGCTAGGTTTCAGAGAAGCCACAAAGACAGTTTGTTCCTGAGTCTTTATGGTAGAGACACATAAATCATTTCATAGAATCACAGAATGGTTTGGGTTGGAAGGGTCCTTTAAGATCATCCAGTTCCAATCCCTCTGCAGGGTCACCCCCCTCCACACCAGGTTGTTCATTTCTAGCAGGCTGGAATTTCTACCCTGTTGGTGAATCCCATCTGGTTTCTGGGATTAATGTGTTCTTCCCTGAGAAAAATACCAGTTTTATACCACACAGCAACATTAATTGTCAACTCTTATTTTCTGTCCCTCCTTTACTCTGTAGGCCAACCAGGATGCTTTTAAGTAGTCACAAAATGTGTGTTTTTAGCATGCAACACGTTGTCATACTCTTACAGCGTTTAGTTCACATGGCAGCGTTTGTACGTTGCTTAAGTCCAGTCTCTTGTCTTTAACATGTTACTGTGTGAGCATTATGAACTCTAAATGTATGTTGCATTCAGTGCAATGTTCTAATTAAATGTGAAATTTACTTCTCATTTGCTCAGAGGACATCAGTCTGCACTTATTATTGGATTAAAGATGGGAAAGCTGCCCTGAATAACCAGGGGTTAGCTCCCTTGGCAACGATGTCAAACCTCAAAACCGCTCAGCAAGCTGTGCTGTGCTTGCTCTATTTGCTCTTGTAATGGGAGTTTTTGCCAGGTAAAAGTAAAGCATTGTCATGCAGTTGTGACATGAATTTACATTCTCTGTAAGAGGAAAGGGGGAATCCCTGAAGTTACCACCTTCATGTTGCCATTTGAATGCCCAGCATTGCTGGCTGTTCATTCTCAGTTATCGAGACAAGTTCCAGAAGCACGTCTATCATTCCTGGTCCGTGTCCTCCATAGTGAGGAAAACAAGTTTTACAGTCAGTGACTCAAATAAAGTCCCCACAGCTTGAGTCCTCACGTACATACAAGTGTGTGCAAATGCTCCCTCCATCTATTGGAGTTTCCAGGGGCGCTGGAGAGGTCAGGCTGTCCCTTTTTATCTATAAATTTTCACAGTACAGTGTCTTACAAAGCCAATAGGCCAATTGTTCTGAGCCAGGCTGCACCACAGCTTGAAGCTTTTCCACACTGTATTTTTTGAAACCCATCTTAATCCATCTTAAGTTATTTTACATTCACTTCACAGTCCTATGGGCTTTACTTTTTATATTTGCACTGTTCTCTAACTAAAAATGTAGCTCTTCATTGCATGTCTTGGCAATGAAAAATTACAGATGGGAGAGGAGCTTAGTTGGGACAAAACAAGATATAGTTTTGTCTGTTGAAAGTGTACCAAAATAAGATACGTGCCAGAAGAAATAATCCAGTGTCTACTGGATTTTAAAATGTGGATCTAGGAGTTTGTTACTTATAAACAAAAAAATGTTTACCCCCCCAACAAATAAAGTCATTGGTTTAGGTTTCCTGAAACATTCTAGGGAAACAAGGTACAGTAATTGGATTACATCCAAAGTGAAGCAGAGTTGTGGAGATAAAGGGGTTGCCATACATAGCCAGCTACTCAGCAAAGACTTCATAATTTGTATTCAGAGGGTGGTTGTCATTTATTATAACTTGGAAGGTCACAGTATCACATCTGTTCTGCTTGTCTGCTGGTTTTGAAAAAAGGAAGAGCTCTTGTGAGCCCTTCTGCTGTGCAGCCCCTCATCCCCCAGTGCTGAAAAATGACTGTTCTTAGTAGGGAGGGTAAAGAAAAAATGTCATGAAAAATTAAAAAGGCAAGAGGGGTTCTCAGCGTGAGACAATCCAAGTGGCAAGTCTTGATTGCATTATTTAACAACACAATCTGGAATGCTACAGAGCTTCACATTGTAGTCTGTATTTCACTATAGCGTTTCATGTTTGTGCATGAACTGCTGCCAGTCAACTTGTGCTTACCTGTCTGCTATATTCCTTCATTTTTTTTTGTCTTCATTTCTTACAGCAGTCTTCAGCAGCTTTCAAAATTATAAATGTGACCTTTGTGATGATCCGAAAAGCACTGGCCACTTTTACTCGATGCCTAATCAATGTGGTGCTCTTGTAGATGCTTTTTTTTTTTTTTTAAAGGAGTGACCTGCTTAATTTTACCCATGATAATTCTTGGTGGTTCTCAAAATAGCACAGTTAAACTGTTGCAAAATCTGCGTGGGCATGTTTGCTAATAATGCCTGCTCTGTCTATCTGATGAACCATAAAATTATGAAATATGATGCAAAAATTAAAACAAAATCCAGACAGGCAATGCATGTGAAACTTAATTTCTTCTAATGCAAACTCTGCTTTATAATGATTTTCTATTGTGTAACACTCATATTGGGATTTTTTCTTTTTTTTAACTTAATGTCTCTGACTTCCATCACCATTAGTGAGTGTTGTATATATCGATCATAGAGAAATCACTTTCATTAAAGATTTTTTCTGGGCTTTTTAAACTGAATAAAATCATGAGGCTGTATTGCCCATAAGACAGCTTTTGTTTGTCCCTGTAGAAGGGTAGTAACAATAAATCCCTTGACTTTTGTTATTGAAAACCCTTGAGTTACAATATCCTGATATTTATTTAATATCGTATTTTGCCCACTTAAATGGGTGAATGTACTTTTTTTTTTGTAAATAGCTGCACTAACAGCTTTGTTAATTAACCTTTTTTGTATTAGTCTAAGAGGACCTATCTTTAGAGCTTTCATCAGAATTTTAAAAGATAAGGTAAAACAAGTCTGAGATATTTATACTGAAATGGTTATGTTTAAACGTTAAAGCCTCTTGGTTTTCTCAAAACATACTTCCTACTGAATGACATTTCTTTAGATGCATACCTATATAGAGCTTTCTGAAATAAAATCGAATGTGCTGCTGGTAAGACAATGTATCCTTAAAATTAAATGGAAAAAAAAAAAAAAAAAGAAAGATCTAGATCTTTTTCTCAACTGTGGTTTTGCAATTAGTGCAATAAAGAATGTGTTGTGAATTAATTATATAGAAGTAAAAGATACAGCAGCTCTTTTCCCTACCAATAACAAACAGGGGAGGCAGAAGAGAGGAAAAATAAGCTTATGCAGTAATCCTAGATAACCTTCAGGTGTTCATTTCCATTGTTAGTATATGTGCAGTGAGCATGCTAAGTCCCTTACTGTACAGAGTTTGCAGTGTACCCTATGGTGAATATCAGTTATCATTACACAGCACTCATAAAGGTATCCTGCCAATGTTTCTTTTTTGAGTCTAATAGTAAATCAGTCAGAGTAGACTCCAGGGGGATCTCTTGGGGTGCTAAAAGAAGGTAAAATATTACTAAAACAAATGCAATTTGCGCTCTTCTGGTGTTCCTAATACATAGCAATAATTAGAGTTGTATGAAGAATTTGTCCCCTAAGTGATGGTGTGCCTCTTGAATTCCATTATGTTGTTAAATATATATATATATATTTAATATGTTCTACTGTTTAGATGCCCAACCTACAGAATCTGAAAAGGAAATTTATAATCAGGTGAATGTAGTGTTAAAGGATGCAGAAGGAATACTGGAAGACTTGCAGTCATATAGAGGAGCTGGCCATGAAATACGAGAGGTGAGCCAGAGCGTTACAATTGTGCACAGCCTGTGATTGTTCATTGATCCTAACAGTACCACTGGAATTTAACTTTGCTTGCAGGAGCTGTCTTGGCAGAGCATGTTGCCTATTAAAATTGCTGTCTTGAAATTCTCCTTTGGAATGTTCCTTTTAACAGCAAAATGGATGTCACTTGTTTCAGCAGTATTAACGCACACGTGTAATAGCACACTTCTCAGAGGTTTTATGGAATTGTTGCAGTTGGTTTTCTTTATATTTCCACGTTAGCTTTTCCCAAGTTAGTAGTCATTTGACAAGCTCGTGGCATGACTTCAATGCAATGTTAAATAATGTCAACATCTTTTTGTGTGCTGATTGGAAAAGTCTGATGTGTGAGAATCCTAATGCGAAAGGCTTCTCAATACCTTCAAAGTGGCTTTTATTTACGGAAGGAGGTGTTTGGATGGAAACGGTTTCTGAACAGCATGTCACTCCATTCTTACTTAACTTAAAGGAAAAGTAGAATAAATAGTCTTTCAGTTCCCTCTTCTTCTGGTTCAGATGGAAGAGTTGGGACTGCTTTGCTCCTAAAGTGAGGAGAATTCCCACCGTAGAGTTCTTTGAGAAACCTTACTAGACACGAGTCTCTGCGCGCTCCATCTAAATTGGAGAAACTCATAGCTATTCAGCTCATAAGTACCATGTGATTTTATTCAGTCTCTCTGAAGTGGTAAGTTAGGTTTCATAATGGTAATTGTGTAACACACAGCCCTGGGAGGGGAGATAGCTTATTTCTTTCTTTAAAGAAAGAGCATGTTCAAGCAGAGGCTCTAGGATCTGGCAGTAATGTGTGTCACAGCACCAAGGCCTGAAGTTCCTGTGCAGAAAGAGACCTGCAGCTGAGAGGAGGTAGACAAAGCAGAAGGAAGCTTTCTAAGGGCCAGAAAGAAGTGTGCTAAAACCTGTAGCCCAGAGCTGACTGAAATGGATTTTGGAGTCAAGGACTTGACTGAAGAAGGGAGCTAGGGAGTTACAAACTTTTTTATTTCTGTTTTCTTGATAAATTTCAGTTGCAGAAAAGTCCTATTTCTGTCTTAAAAACTTGAAGAGATTGAATTCAAAGTGTTACCTGTCTTGAAAACTTACTGTAAAGATGAGGTCTACACATATATGCCTTAATGTTCTGACATACGACATATCTTTATGTTTCTGATTGTATCACAATGTCCCTACTGTAATATTTAGCCTGAATTTCATAGGGAATGTATTGTGGTTTGTTTTCTTCATCGTTTCTGAAATTTGTGATAGATAATATTAGAGAATTTGATCACTGAACTGCTTTGCTTGCAAGTGAAGTTGTTGATTTCAATTAACTACATCTGATTATGTAAAGTTTCATAATCTGAGTAATTTTAACAATTTATTTATACTTTCTCAAGGTGTTTTTTGTTTTGCTTTTCTATGCTGGATACTTACTTTCAACACAAATGTTTAGCGCTTTTTGGAACAGTCTTTGGTTAGTCTTCAGTTATCTCTTTACTAGAAAGTCCTCAGTATTTAGAAAGCTAGATTACTTCTCTTAACAGTCACCCTGCGTAGATTTTTTTTCAGTGAAGTCTCAGATATTCTTTATCTAAACATACTCTTTTCCTCTTTTTTTTCCTAATATAAGGCAATACAGCATCCCAATGATGAGAAACTGCAAGAGAAGGCATGGGGAGCAGTTGTTCCATTAGTAGGCAAACTAAAGAAATTCTATGAATTTTCTCAAAGACTAGGTAAGTTGAATGGTATGAACATACTTTTTGTCTTCATTAGGTTTGTACACTTGAAATACAGATCACATCCAGGTCAACCATTTGTTACAAGTTCTTATTGCAAGGTTCCTTCCATGCACTTTTTTTTGTATACCACCTTTTTCATGTGAAAGTAAACTTACTTCAGTGGATACCTGAGAGAAGAGAGGATAGGAGTATACTTGACATCTCCTGTCCCTGTAGTTAACCTGGGAGGGCACTAAGATATTGAGTGTGAGTTTATCTTAAAAACGGACAAATAAAACATGACTTCTGGTGATAGGTATCAATCTCGAATTTTGGTTTACCTTCTTGAAGATAACTTGCATGTTGCTGACAAAGCTGGAATAAAGCTTTTTGAAAAACATTTCATCACTGTCATTAGTGCTGATTGGGCATAGTTTCCATAGTGGTTTGTAAGTAAATATGATAAAATTGACACATAGAAACCATTCCCGAAGTCTATCATTAATTGCCGTGTGTTTTGGAAGATTGATATTTTAAGTCTAGTGTGTAGAGCATCAGGCACAAGAAGCAGGTGCAGTTGTATAATGTGAAACATTCTCCTCTTTTAAGAGGCAGGATTGAGAGGTCTGTTGGGAGCCCTGACAAGCACTCCATATTCACCAACACAACACCTGGAGCGAGAGCAGGCTCTTGCTAAACAGTTCGCAGAAATTCTTCACTTTACCCTCCGATTTGATGAGCTCAAGGTAAGAACTTGGTGTAATTTTATAAGTAGGTTAGAAAAGGAAAACAACTCTGTGAAGTTTGGATCGCATTCTGTTCTAGAACAGAGCATTTAGGAAATATTCAAATGTCTGCTATGGATGGCTTGTTCACATGAACTACAGTTAGATTAAACTGGAATACAGAAGAAATGTTATCTTTAGACACTTGTTACATTTGAGTTCATCTTAGTCGTGTTTCTTCAAATTCTTCTTGAATTTGGTACATCTTTTGGGATGGTGCTGGTGTTACTGTTAATAGCTGGGCACATACTTTCTTACTGATGTGAAAAGAACTTATCTCGTAATATGTAATACCAATGTATTGATCTGATCCTTGGAATCAAACGTACATAAACATCTTTTTCAACCCATTAATTTCAAATTCCTATTACAAAACCTCCTCCTTTTCTTGTTAGATCTTGTTCTGAAAAATCTGATATTTAATAAGATAGATTTCTTCTATGTATCTCTATTTACAGTGTCACAAGTCTTTTATTTCAGGAATTTAAGTATTTTCTTTTTCTTGGTACTAAATTTTATGAAATCTTGTCTTTATATTTTTCTTGAGAAGTTTGTCTTAACTCTTTTCCTTCCATATCTACATAGATGACAAATCCTGCTATACAGAATGACTTCAGCTACTACAGAAGAACTCTGAGCCGTATGAGGATTAATAATGTCCCAGTAGGTAACCTTTAGATGGTACGAAATGTCACCTTGTGCTACTACCTAGTTTTCCATATGAAGAAAAACTGAATTCTTCTTTCCTGCTTTCTAGGCAGAAGGAGAAAATGAAGTAAATAACGAGTTGGCAAACAGAATGTCTTTATTTTATGCTGAAGCAACGCCGATGTTGAAAACTTTAAGTGATGCTACAACAAAATTTGTGTCAGAGGTAAGAGTATACATTTATGGGTTGGATAGCGTACGTAAGCTTTCCAGGGCCAGACATTGTTTTGAAAACAGAACTGTCGGGCTTATTCTTGTATCCAGAAATCCAACTTGTTTTTTTGGAACCTCAAGAAACAGGATGTGCCCTTCTTAGAAGCTGTAGAGGTGAACAGTGTCAGCTAGCCACCTTGTGGATGCATTGCAAAAAATAAGCAGGAAGTAATACAACACTGATAGTGAAAGATTTCCTCTAGTAATACCTAGAATACCATGCTGCCCTGCTTTTTTTTGGTATTTGAATCAGAAACTTCATAAAAGTTCAGGGGAAACACTTTGATTTTGTGCTAAAAATAGGGAGGGAATTGCAGTGTGTCTTCTTTTTCTCCTTCTGAAGGCACTTGTCTTTTGCTGTTTAAAGTCAACTAAGGTTAATGAAAGAATGGATCCTGAAAAGTATTCCAATGTTGTAAAGCATTCCTGTTTCACTGTATCTAAATATCAATGATACTTTAATTGTAGTGATTGTGTTCTGATGGACACTTGATAATTATGTTTTGTCTCAAATAGAATACACCATTTTTAATTTAAAAAACAGTACATGTGTTAGAATACTAATACAAAGTCTTATTCCTATTTCAATAAATTCTTTATTCATTCTTCTTTACACTTGAAATGCCTTGAAAAGTTACCTGTCGTGTTAAATGTTTGAGATTGAGATATTCTTCTGAAACAGTAAGTCTTCAATGAAGAGGCTGAAACAGGCTGCCCAAGGAGGTGGTGGAGTCTCCTTCTCTGGAGATGTTCAAGACCTGCCTGGATGCCTACCTGTGCAACCTGGTGTAGGGAACCTGCTTTGGCAGGGGGGTTGGACTCGATGATCTCTGGAGGTCCCTTCCAACCCCTACAGTTCTGTGATTCTGTGACTCTGTGAAGAGAAAGACATGCATCTGCTGCACATATTTGGCTACAGAAGACTGTCCTTAGAGAACAGATTCGATTTTTTTCGTTTAGAACTTCCTAAGCATCAGTAGTCTCACTGGTGCATTTCTGCAAGCAAAACAGATATGGTAGGCTTCAATTTTGTAGACTTTAATCTTTAGGTTGCCAGCTTTCAATGTAACATTTAATACCTAGAACAACAAAAGCAAAAGTACAAAACAGAACTGTGCAAAAGAATATTACCATAGTTGTACTGAAGTTTTTTAATCCTCCATATTGCCATGCCAACAGATCAGCGACTTGATTTATGTTTTATATGATAATCTTTTACAAAAATTGAAAACTGTTTATCTTCTTTTGCAGAATAAAAATTTACCAATAGAGAATACTACAGATTGTTTAAGCACCATGGCCAGTGTGTGTAGGGTCATGCTGGAAACCCCGTGAGTATTAATAGTACTAATATTGTGTATTAATCATATCCATGTTTTTAGATGTGACTTGTGATTCATAATGAGGAAAACTATTTGAATAACTAGGAATTTTGGTGTTATCTTTTTACCAACTTAGTTGTTAATCTTGACATGAAACTAACTTGTTTTATTTTGCTGGCCACACAAATCATATGGTCTACTTTTCTGAACAAATTAATATTTTAAAATAGAACAGCCATGAAAGCTAGACAACCTCTTGGTGGTACTTATAAATGGTTTTCTCATATATAATTCAGGAAAATACACCATTTGAGCATGATTGCCTAGGGCCTCCTAGAAGAGAGGTTATCAGCAACTGTGCTTAATGGTGTCTCCTTGCAAGTTGACTTGGCTGAAGGCTGTAACAAAGTTACAGTGTCCTTGCCAGGGGATAAGATGAATTCAGGCATAAGGACAGTCTATAGTCTAGTCCAAATTTGGGAGGCTTTGGGAGTATAAACAAAGTCAAAATGACCTTTGTATTTTTTCTGTGATGGAAATCATTTCCCAGTAGTAAAACTCTTCAGACAAGAGGCACACTGTCAAATTAAAAGAAGATCAGATCAAATACCTCAGTATATATGTTTTGAAATACATTAATATCTCCCTGCGTTTATACCATTACTCTGTTTTGTAATGGTCATCTCACTCAAGAAAGTAGTGTACCATTGGGCTTTCATTTCCGTCCTGTCCCCACATCAGAAGTTTGAGTTGCTTGCATTTTAGGGAGTATAGAGGGAGAAAGGATAAGGCATGCTGAAAGGAAAGTTGGTGTGTTTTGTTTAAGTTTTTCTGAGGGAGGGAGAAGCTTGAAACATAGCAACAGGGTGCTATTTTAGATTTGAGAATCTGTAACTTCCAGCTATTGCTTTCTAAGCAGTGGATTTGCTTTTGTGATCAGATTGCTGAAAGGAAAAAGGAAAACTCTCAGAACTGTTCTTTCTCTGAGGATTTATGGCAGGATTTTATAGACTATCCTGCTCTAGAAGGAACTCAAAAGGATCATTGAGCCCAGCCTCTGGTTCTGCAAGGACCACCCAAAATTTCAGACCTTATGTCTGAGAGTGTTGTCCAAACTCTCCTTCAACTCTGGATGCTTGGGGATGAGACCACTGCCACGGGCAGCCTCTTCCGTGCCTGATCACCCTCTGGTGAAGAACCTCTTCCTGACACCCAGCCAGACCCACCCCTAGTGCAGATCCAGGCCATTTCCTTGGGTCCTGTTGCTCCATTCCCCTTGTGGGAGAGCTGTAGGGCACCAAAACCTCCCTTCAGTCTCCTCTGGGCTGAACATACCATAAGACTTCAGCTACTCGTGTTTTGCCCTGTAAAACCTTCCCCATCTTTCCAGCCTTTTTTTGGACACTAATAGTTTTAGTCCTTCTTATGTTGTACCCAAAACTGCAGTCAGTACTCAAGATGAGGATGCACCAGAGCAAAGCAGAGTGCATAGTTTTTCTCTTTAAACTTATTTTGGGCATTATTAGGGATTATCTTTATTTTGTTTGAATAATTTTCCCTGTTTTTCAATTACAGTGAATATAGAAGCAGGTTTACAAATGAGGAAACAGTATCATTCTGTCTGAGAGTAATGGTGGGTGTCATCATACTCTATGACCACGTGCATCCGGTGGGCGCTTTTGCCAAAACTTCTAAAATTGATGTAAGTTTTTTGTTACTAAGTAATCTTTTGAGTATTTGAACTGTTTTGTAGGGTTTTTTTTTCTTCTGTGTGGATTTTAGTAGTAGCAGATGTGCCTTTTGGTTTGATAGAGAAAAGGTAGTGTTAACTGGGAACAAAACAAGTGCGTAAGCAGTGAGAAATCTAAAACATAGTGGTTTACATACATAGTGGTTACTGTCAAGCCATTAAAAATGTGATGGAGTTTGGGTGGTGACTTGAAATACTTGTGAACAGTCATTTGTGTTGAAAGGTACAAATCAAAACTACTGAAAACAACGGTGGCGTCTGACTTGTTCCTCACTCCTGTGAAATGCTTCATTCTTTGCTAGTCTTCAGCTCTAACTTGGTTTGTTTGGTAGCAGTCTGTGAAATGCATGCTGTTAGCATATGCTGCTTAGTGGTTATTTGTTATGGAGTATTATCCAGTTGTCACATTATCATTATTTCACTAGCTGAATTGAATTGTTCTCTGTAAATCAATTGTAGGCAAAGATTGTGCTTACAATTACTTATTCTTAATATTGATACATTAGAGTTTCACATCAATTTTGTGTTGTCTAAAGATAAGCAGATTTTGAATGATCTGAGTTATTCAGTTATAAGAAAACATAATACTGAAAACTTAATTCCTTTCCAGTATCAAGGAAGTGCACTCTTGCAGTTTTTAAGTAATTTTCTCACCGTGGCAAATAATATATAACACTTCTGTAAGCTTACAAAGTATTTGTGTGAAAAAAATCATCTTTTTTTGACTCCTAGATGAAAGGATGCATCAAAGTTCTTAAAGACCAGCCTCCTAACAGTGTAGAAGGCCTTCTCAATGCTCTCAGGTAATCTTTTTTTCTTTATTTGAAATCTTCGTAAATTTCCAGAAATTATCCAGGGTCTTCCTTTCAGCAGTGAAGTGTTTAGTGCTGGAGGTAAAAGGCGAATGTGTTTATTGCAGGCTTCTTTCCCATTGTGTTTGGACACATGGACACATGAAGAAGCTGCTGTGTTTTCGAGGCTATGTTGTAAATTTGCTCTAAGATAGCTTTTTACATGCATCAGCTGCACACAGGGTAAGAGTGGGTGAAAAGGTGTGTGTGACAGAGCAGCAGTTGTACCTGAAGGCAAAACTGTTGACTAATAAGATAGTATTGCCATATCCTTGTCTGTGTGGTTTGATAATGTTAATGATTTTATGTATTATTAGCAGAGTCTGAGAGTAATTTAACGCAATTTTCATGTTTCACAGGTAGCTTCAGACATACAGGGTAGATAGAGGAGCAGTTTCTACTTACATACGAGAAGCTGTTGCAAAGTATTTATGAAGAGGTACTTGCAGCGCGAGTATCAGTGCATTTGCTGTAGAATATACAAGACAAGTGTTAATGCATAAATTAGAGAGATGAAAAAGAGCAAGTAACTCACTATAGAAGCCTAAAAACTGCTTATTGGTCATACAGTTACATCTCTTCATGTTCTTCATGTTAATGTCAAGCATCAGAGGATTTGCAAGATAAAATGAAACATAATAGATAAGCGGAGGCCTCTCTTTTGTGCTTATGTGCTTTTTGTACCTTATTTATTAGTACAAGTTAACTATAATTCTGTGTGGCTATTTGTGCATTTGAAATGTGGAAGCTTTAGTTAATGTTGCTCATTTGGCTTTTTCTTATCAGTAGTGAAACTGCTTTAATTTTCTTTTTCTTCATGTCCAGCTGTAGTAAGAAGGGAAATAATATAGTATTATAGGTGGTTTAATTGGGCAAGTTTTTTTCCAGATTATTAGCCAAAGAGAGCAAAAAAACCTGTTGGAAAGTTTTGAGTGTTTCCATGCCTACATGGTTTGGTTACTCATTTCTGAAACCTCTTGTGATATTAATCAGTCTTTGTGACAGTAATCAGTAGAAGAAGACAAGTTTCTAAAGAGAAAACACAATATTTATTTTCTGCCCAGCAAAGTACACAAAACGTTGTTCAGGTCCTCACTCCATTGTGTTCAGTTCTGTGAACTTGAGCTGTGCTGTCATGCTGACATTTTGCCACGCTAACCCATTTCATGCATACATAGATATTTCAACAATCCAGGTTTTTCATGTATGTGACGATTCATTGCGGTAAGATATTGAAATCCTTTTTTAAAATCACATTTGGAATTGCTGACTAGTGATGCTGAGCTGCTGTGTGCCTGCGTGGTGGAAGGGGGTTCAAGATGATGTCATGAGAAATTAAGTCAATCTGACTCTTTGATTTTTGGAGGATTTGGGTTGGAAGTTTTCTTTTCTGAGAGGTAAATCATGGCTCTTAAAAGCAGATGGAAGGTAGTATGGATTTTGGAAAGATCTCAGCTGTTTGGAATTAAATTCTTATAAGTATTTAAATCGTGTTCAGCTTTTTCACATGGGCAAAATACCAAGTGTAATAACTTCTCTAGATTTTAGAAAAGCTTGGAGCTCTTGTGGGAATTATATATTCCCAAAATGTCCTGAAATCTATATTGATACTGATTTTCAAAACTAAGCCATTGTATATTCTGCTAGTGAACATGTAAAATATTAGTGCAGTTACGGATCACAGTCAAAGTGCTAATTTTAACCCGTTAAATATTTGAATTACAGAATAAGATTCTCTAATAAGATCAGGGAAAGGAACTGTGCACGGATTGCAATATGGAGTGTACACAGTACTTTAAAATAAGATCTGACAAAGTTTTTTGTGGTGATAAAAAAAAAATACCCTAGAGAATTTTGAGTGAAAAGAAAGGAGAAAACACTTGTATCTGTACCTTTTAAAGATGTCATTAGCACAGCTAAGTAAACAGGGAATTAAGCCATTGCCTCTGAGGGATCTTTAAGCAGTTTAGTTATTGGAAGTTGGGAAGAAAGATTTCAGAGGCATTGTTTTAGTTGGAGGTGTTGCCCATGAACTCAATCAGTGCTCACAGCTGGCTTTCACAACTGCACATGACTTTGCTGTGAAGTGGCATATGAGAATGAGCCACCATCCACCTGAGGCTTTTTTATTTCTTCTTGGTGTAAGGCTGCTGGAGTATAGATCTGATAACAGAAGCACTTCCAGAAGAGAAAATCTATTCTTGGTAACAGGAATAGGTGTAGATCAGTGACTGTAGGGGTTTCCATAGCATAAACTCAGTTTGTTCAGTTATGCCTCAGCCTGTCTGTACCGAAACAAAATAGTTCGTGTTTTTCTAAACTTGATTTTTATTTCTGCTTAGGTACACAACAAAGCATTTGAATGATGAGACTACCTCCAAGCAAATTAAATCCATGTTGCAATAACAATTACCTGGAACTCGCACCTGCTGTAGACAGACAGTATTCTGCAATGACTGAGATGCACAGATTTTTTTTTTAGTGATTGCAACTACTATCTCATTCATTCTTGCTTTGTATTTTTTTTTCTCTCTTCCTGTTTTCCTTTTTTTTTTTTTTTTTTTTTTAAATCACTTTCTTGTTCTTAAGTAAGCTCAGACTTCTTTTCTGTGCCAAATCAAAAATTACAATTCTGGAAAGTTTCTACATTTCAGAATAGCCATCCTAAGTGGCAGCTAATTATGCGTTGTATTTGGATTTCTCTGTACTGGGGAAAGATTTGTGACTTGAACTAAATATTTTTAAACTTGTGGTTTTTTCTTTTTTTGAAAAACTAATATTTAATATTGCTTCTTCTGCATGGCAAGACTGCCTACTTCTGCTATTTAAAAATCCCTTGATGACTTCATTTTCTATTGCAGCTTATTTTCATGTTGAACCATGAGGAAACTAAAAGCAGATTTGTTTAAATTAACTGTGTTTGTACAAAATGGTACCCAACACAAAGGTTTTTTTAAATGAGTAAAAACAGTTTTGTTTAAAAGTTACGTTTGCATTTTGACTCATTTTTGTAAGGATGTATGTTGTATGTTTAACCTTTAATAACTAACGTTAAACTGTGGTGTGTGCGTAGCAAAATTACGTATGCATGTTCATGTCAAATGATTGGCTGTGGATAAGATAATAAAATCAGCTTTCATTTTTCTAAGTGTGGTTTGATTTGCCAGTATTTTGAGTGAGATGTCTTCGTGCTCTTTGGATTTTTACAAAAAATAAATTTATAGATTTTATATAGTGAAAACTTTGCTGTTTCATTACCAGTAACCACTAGAGTCTAGTGCACTGATCTTAAACCTAGCACATTTCAGGGCTCTTACTTTCTTTCCTGTTGATTCCTTGTCACCAGGTTTTGAGAGGGGAAGAATACTGTCCAATCCACGTAGGTCCCAGTGGTCATTGCTGAAGAAACTGCATTTTGACTGCCCATACTGGCTTGCACAGCCATCAGAATAATGTTCCAGATCAGGCTACCAGTCTGGCTATTTCCATACCTGTGGTGGGGAGATTAGTTTCTCTTTCGGTGTATACTAGTGTAAACTTTTACAAATCTGTAGATATTGGAACAGTGTGTGAATTCTGAGTTGTCTGAACATACTAAATGATGTTGCCTTGGTGCTAGTCCAGTCTTTTTCCAAAATAAGTGTTAAGGCTTGGTGAAGAAAATCAAGCTGGAATGGGGGAACGAGAAATGAAAACTGCTGGAGAGAATTCTTCTGAAAGATGGCATGGTTTTGCATCAGTGGGCATTAATGCACCTTGTCTGTTTTGTGATTAAGCTAAAAACAAGTTGTCAGCATTCTGGAAAGGAGTCTTAAAACCTGCAGGCAAACAAGAACACTCTCAGCTTTATTTGCTGGACAAATGATGTAAATTTCCTGCTTGCTCCAACTTTAACATACCAGTATGACCATGCTGAATGCCTTGTGGTTACACTTCTGCACCATCAGGAAAGATTTTCCTTTTATTTTTTTTTTCATTTTTTTTAATGTAAAGGATTCTTTCTAGAAGTCCCGCCTAAAGAGAAAGCAAACCATGTGCTGTGTTACATACAGGAATAAAATTCTCTTGCTTAGACCTGGTACTACTCTCTAATCCTTCTGGCAGTGTCATAGTTGGAACTGTCTGAGATAGGACAGAACTTTGTTTGATTTCTTTTGAATTATATATTTCCCAGAATTGCATGAATGTTGAACTCTGCATGCAACTATCCATTGTGTGTATCTGAAAGGGTAACTGGCCTCCTGAGTTCGTTGCTGATGGGGGGAAAAAGATGTTTCTTCTCAACCTCATTATGGAAAAAAAATTAATAATTGCAGGAACAGCAGTTGTTGTGTCCTGTTCTTAAAGCTTTTTAGAGAAAATGTATTTTCCAAAGGTTAAGTTTTAAGTATAAGTTGGGTATTTGACAGAAAATCCAGACTGGTTATTGAAGGACTAGCAACATAGATTTCCTTTTCTTTGTCTGCCTCGGTGACTATGGATGAAAACAATACAATTTCTTACATTGACTGTTTTGGACAGCTCTTCTTTTCTGCTGTCCTGCCAATATCTCTGCTTTTAGACATGGTTGTTCTTGTGGTCTGAGAATAATTGGAGCTTTCCTTTTTTTCCTCCAGTGTTTGCATTCTGCAGTTTCTCTGTGTACACAGCTGAGAAAGGAGATTACAGCTGGCATGCCTTCTGTTTGGCCGGCCTGCAACTCAGCGAGCTTCTCCCCATGTGAGCCTTCCAAGAGAAGAAGATTAGGCCTTTGCTGCGTGAGGTATCAGCTGCTCACGTTTCTGGGCTAGCACTGCTGGGTGTTTGATACTTGAGCATAGTTGCATGTTCCTTGCAAAAGCACTCTTTCATCTTCTCCCATGTTTTAATTTTTCGTAGCCTGGAGACTGAGAGCACTAGGATGGCTGGCACGAGGTGCCTTCGATAAATGCTTCGCTCTACTTAGCTGTTTTCCTCTGATACAGGCTGGTGCAGCTGCCTGGGAGCTGCTTTGTGTGGACCCTTTCCTTATGTTCTTTCTTTGAGTACCTTGAAGAATTATTGCTATGTTCTCTCACATGTAAATTTACAGCCTGAGTGCCTTCTCTGATTTTGCAATTAGTACAAATTTCAAAAGTGTGTGTTGAAACAACTCTGATCTGAAACAGCTTCTAATATCAAAGTAGAGTTACCCTGCATTATTGTTGCAGGACTGTTTGCTTGTGGCCTTTATCTTGGTCTTTTTTACTGTCCCCAAACTTCTTCCATACCTTTTCCCATTTTCCTGATGTGCTGCTCAGTCTAATGTCTGTTTGCTGATCAACAGCAGTGGCTCTCCATGTGGGTTTAGCAAAGCAAGAAATAAAGCAATGGCAGCATATATGCTGGCATATAATGCAAACATAATGTGGTATGCTTACAGGTGACTTCGTAGTGAATTGCTGTCACATGGGGTGTTTGAAACTGGGTGATGGCATCCTGCTTGGTGCTGTGGATCTGGGAAATGTCTTTTTTTCCTCCTGCTTCACTGCTAATAGTGTTCTGGAGGTTGGTTTTGTTGTTCTTGTAAAACAAAAGAGCCGAGTCATGCTTATCACATCCATGGAAACTAAAACATAAGAAACGCTGTACTCAGTGAACAAATCTAGCCACGTAAAATCTGATCCTTTGTGTTTTTTGAGTCTGAATAGTGAAATGTTCTGGTCTCCTTTGGTGGCAGCTGCAGTACAAGGAAACTTGGAAAGTCAGATGATCACCTGCTTCGTATGGTGCAGTTTCCTGAACATAGGACAGGCAGCAGACTAAAGTTTTCAGAGGGCTGCAGTTATTTCAGTGGCAGTGTGTGGTAGCCTGGTAGCAAGGCACGGGGACTTGGTAGATGTTGGTGTCATTCAAAAACTGGCTGAGGGTGCACTCGATTCCACTGACCATTTCACTGATGAAGATATTAAAGGGCATTGGTCCAGTCCCAGTACAGACCACTGGCCACTTGTGACCGATCTCCATCTGAACATTGAGCTACTGACCAGTACTCTCTGGATAGGATCTTGCAACCAGTTCCTTGTTCATCTTACAGTCCACCTATCAAATCCTTTATCTTTCCAATTTGGAGAGAAGCTTATTGTGGAGGACCATGTCTAAAGCCTCACTGAAGTCCAGATAAATGACATCAGTGGGTCTTTGCTTGTCTACTGATGTATTTGTGCCATTGTAGAATGCCATAAGGTTGGTCGGGCACGACTTGCCCGTGGCAAAACCATGCTTGGAATCCTATGTCACCTTCCTTTCTTCCATATACCTTAGCATAGCTTCCAGGAGGATATCTTAGATGACTTTCCCTGGCACAGTAGTGAGATCAGCAAGTTGAGGTGAGATTGGTAGTTCCTTGGGTCGTACTTTCTATCCTTCTTAATAATGGATGTGACTTGCTTTTTTTCAGTCACTGAGGGATTCACCTGACTGCCATGACTTCTCTGATATCATCAAGAGTGGCTTGGCAACTACTTCAACCTGTTCCCTCAGGACTCTGGGATAGAATTACGGATGCTCAAGTTCCTCAGGTGATCACAAACCTGATGTTTGCGTACAGTAAGAGGGACATTGGTCCCTCAGTTCCCACTTTCCAACCCATTTGCTTCAGGGGTGAGTGAAGAGCAGCCACCAATGAAGACTGAGGCAAAAAAGTTTATGAGAACATCAGCCTTCTCCATATAATCATCCTGCCTGTTTAGGGGGGGGAGAGGGTATGCTTTCTTAGACTTTCCTTTTCTGGTTGATATGATATACCTGTAGAAGGTACATTACATTGCTTAGACTTCCTCATGTCCATTCTTCAGGGACAGCTCTTCACTCTCTATTCCTTTCTTGTTGTCTACCACTCAAAAAGAAAAGAATAAAATAAAAAATAAATTGTTTTGTTTCCTGGTGTTCAGCACAGAGGTATCTTGTTAGAAAAGCAATTTTGCAGTGCTGACTCAGGCAGTGCTGCTTGTCACCTTGCTTTAGTATGCTTTGTTGGAAATGCTGTAAGGTTAAAAAAGAAAAAATATTTGCTGCAGCCCTACCTGGAAGCAAAACACTTTTTTCTTCATCACAATTTATTTCCTTTAATATCTTCTAACTTTGATGTAATTATCTCTTGTACTGAAGGGGAACTCCTGGATGGCAAGAAGCAGCAGTGCTGTCTTTTGCTCTGCAGCACTGTGGCCATGAGGTCCCCGGTGCGGGTGGTCCTAGAGCTCATGAGGCCACTTTCACCTGCAACCTTTCCATTACTGCCCTACTGCTATTTCTGTGTGACACGTGAACTTCATTTTCCTTTAGTTAACAGTTAAAAAAAAAACACAAACAACAAACATTTGTCTAATGTATATGGAAAAGCTTTGGTGCTGTTATCTTGCAGTGCTCCCGTGAGTAGGAGTGGTTGTTGAGGAACAGACCTAGGGGTATCTTCTGGGACTTCCGTGTGTGCAAGAGGAGCTGGAAGAACTCAGAAGTTGCAGTTGTCTTCACCATATACCAGTCCACTAGAAATAAAGTGTGTTCCTGCCCTGGGCATGCTGTGCTTAATGCCTGAGCCTTATTCACAAGGCAACACAAGGCTGCAGGGGCCATGGGTATTTGCCAAATGTCATAGGGAGTCACAAAGTGCTGTGGCTGGTAGTGTTGGAGTGGGATATCAGAGAGCTGTGCCCATTCTTGGCTTCTGTCTTGTGATTCCTTGTTAGTGATGGCAAATTTTTGAGCCAGCAGTCTCCAGAGATGTCTCTACAGGCTCTCCCCTCCGTTACCATCCAAAGCGAATCATCAAGGCACCAATGTCCACAGCTGCAGAAGCTCCTGCTGCGGGTGGATGTCCCTGATCAGGCCTTTAAAGTTTATCTTCTATTTGGTTATTTTTAGCTGGTAACCATGTGCTTTATGAAATGAGCCAGAGAGGGGAAGGCATGCTTTGCAGTCAGAGCTGTCCAGTCCAGTGCTAAGTCACAGCTGGTCGGGTGGAAGCATGCATCTGTGCTGCTCAGTGGCCCATCTTTCTATTGGATGTATTGAAGTGATGCTCAGATGTTGTCTGAAGGGACAGCATGGTGCCTAGGCTTGGGGAAAGAGTCCATGTGCTCATCCAGCTCATCTTGTGTGGCTGGAAATGTACCCATCACATGAAAAGGC